AGAGGGTAATTTCATGGACTTGGCTCTCATCTTTACATGGGTACCAGGGGTCAAACTCAAGTTGGTATGCTGAGCTGGCACACAGTGCCTTTACCCCCACCTCACTGTCCTGTCCCTCTCTTTATCACCTCCTCAGAAACATTCTAAGGAATAAGGAAGGGCTCCCTTGAGCCCTGATTTGGATTACTCTGCCCCTGTACTTTCCATCGACAGCCAGGAAACACAAAGTTTTAAAAACAAAGCAGGCAAGCTGGGCAGTGGTTGCATAAGGCCACCACTCGGGAGGCAAAGGCTGGAGTTTTTTGTGAGTTTGAGGTCAACCCGGTCTACACATTTCCAGAACAGGCAGATTTATAAAAAAAAAAAAAAAATCCTCTTCAGAAAATAAACAAATTAAAAAGATCAGGCCAGGCTAGGTTGCAGATGCCTTTAATTCCCCTATTCAGGGAGCATAGGCAGTTACTGTCTTAATGAGGTCAAGGCCAGCCTACACAGTGAGTTCTAAGATTAAGACCATTTGTTGCTCTTGCAGTAGAGTAGCATTCATTGCCCACAAGGCTGGCTGCTCACCCTCTGCTGGCCTCTGTAGGTACAGCTTGCACATAAACACAAATTGAGGGGAAAAAAAAGCTTGCAATAATGATAGCTGTACTTAGTGTCAAATTGGCCTCGGTAATTCTGCCTTTCTTTTCCCTTCTCCACAACACATAGCAGGTGTGTGCACACACCCTCGATTTCAGCTGGTTTGCTATACGAGGAGTAATGTTTCTGTCAGGGATTGAAGTGCCAAATTTGCCACCCAGGAAGTCCCCTGATTGTGTGCCTAAAAGAGCTGGCTGCATCACAGTCCCCTCCATGTAAGGACTCTATTAATACGTTTTAGAAATTCTGAAAAAGAAAAAGACACAAGCTCTGCTTCTGTTCTCATGACTAGCCACTAAATAACTACATTTTAATTATTACTATATATGTATGAATGACATGTATGTACGTTTGTGAGGTGTAAAGGGTGTACATGTCCATGTATGAAGTTGTATGTGCAAGTGTCTGTGCACGTGAGTGTAGGCATGAATTCCCCTGGAGCCATAGTTACAGGCAGTTGGGTTCTGCAACCCCAGGGTGTTCTGAATCAAGGTCAGATCCTCTATAAGAGCAGTA